CGATTATACACACGTACACACACCATACTCACTCACTCCCTAATGAGCCAAATGATAACACACACCTACAGCAATACACACGCTTACACATATCATACTCGCTCACTCCCTAAGAACCAAATAACACACGCACAAACACTAAACAGAGACACATCCCCTCACCAGGTCCAATAAAACTGTCAAACTGACCAGAGAATTCAGGATAAAATGTATCTATCCAGTTCTTATCTCAAATAACAACTTAAAAGAGACTGTTTGACCAACACAAGGAATATTAAAAGATTCATGTGAAAAAGATAAAAAAACAAAAAAACAAATGAAAACTACAGACAAAAGTTCATTTTCTCCAACAAAAGACATTCATTTCTGTAGTTCACTGCCAACAGCAAGCAGAAATATTTCTCCTCCCGATGATGGCCATTTCGGTCGAAACTAGTCGAGGAATCTAAATGGAATACTAATAATAAAAAAACGAAAGAATATTAATCTACAACCCAGTGTGTCTAATGATTTTAATTTTTTACTTTCTTATTGTTCAATATATATATATATATATATATATATATATATATATATAATAAGTTAATTGATTTAAAATATGGCTTTTTTCGCTACACAGTTCTAACCATGTTTCAAAAATGGAAGCTAAAAGCCACGAATTTAATTTTGTGATTAAATTAAAGACATTAGTTCCATTTCATCCTCAAGCGAATTTTGGAGTAACTTTTTAAAGTTACTGGGTTTAAATACACAGCTAAAACAAAATTCAGGTTTCCAAAGTTACAGATAAATCTATTTTTCTAGACAGGGGTGGCTGGGGTTTCAATATGTCTATAATTTAATGTATCAGTTATTGCTACGTTTAGGTCGTGGGAAGGGATGCATTTTTCAATGAAATCTAACTTCCGTTAAAGCCTGTCGTCTAGATTTTTTTTAAATTATATTGTTAACGGCTACAATCCTTACGGCATTTTTTTCCGTATATTTAAAGTATATTACGATTTTTTAATAATTTTATATTTAAATATTACTAAATTAAATTTTCATTTCTCCGATTTAGTAGACTTTCTTTAATTATTTAATTACAAATTAAAAGAAGTTTAGGTTAGATGTATATATAGCGCCTGCTGGCATGCATAAGTGTAAAACGAAAGGCACTATACAATGCTGACGCTCCTTGATCGTTCATGATAGGAGAGTTCACTATATATATATATATATATATATATATATATATATATATATATATATATATATATATATATATAATTCACAGACAGACTGTTTCGTTGTTTCACAGCTCATCAATGTGAGTAGACATCCGATTGCCTCAACCCGGTTAATTGTGCATATGAGGCAAGAAAGCTGATCTTGCAGATGTTTTATAATTAGGTTGGCCTTCATTGGTGGCTCCACACTTGTGGATGTCTCTTGCCGATATATAGTTACAAGCGCATGTAAATTTTAATATTCCATTCTATAATATATAGATCTCTTGTGCCAATACACAACCACAAATACGGAGATATATGTAAGCATTACGTATATATATATATATATATATATATATATATATATATATATATATATATATATATATATATATATATAAACAGTAAGAGATAGAAAAGACATAGGGTGAGATCCCGTGAAAAATATAGGGAGATAACATTTGAAACTCTTCAAGGTTACTTTTTGTTAGAATCTCCTTCTTCTACAGATATGTAGTTCCCATCGTTTTTTATATCTGACGAGAAGAATGATTTGCGTTTTTTAAATAACTCTCTTTTCCTAAGATATATTCTTGTAAGTAACTAATTAGCTTAGCAAAATGTAACACAATGTCGTAGCACTAACTTAGGATTGAACTCTCTTAAACGGCATAACTTCATCAATATTCACGATGCTTAATTTAGTGCTACATGAGAAAATAATACGTTGCAATCATAAGAAACACTTTCATTATATAAGCTCATTCTCTCTGAGTATTAGACTGTCACCAGGCTATAAGTTTGATGTATTTACTGAGAGCATGCATGCATAAACATACACATATATGTATATAATTTTCGTGTGTGTTGAGCTTGTCTACCTGATATATCGGTGAAATGGTCGGTTTTTTATTTGGTGATTTTACAGGCTTCGGGCTATATATATATATACACAATGATCATTCCAACCTGAGCCATTTGCAGGTCTGCTTAAAAAAAGAAAAGAAATAGAAAAAGGGGGTTACAGACATACAAATCTAACACCTTCTCCCAAATATGTAGAGGCATGTCCTTTCTAGCTATTTCTCTGATTCGGCTTCCAATTCACGCCTGACCTTTCTTCATCGCGAGCAAAATCTTAACACGTTCGTACTCTTTCCACGCGTGACCTTTTCATGAAAATATCGTTGACGGTAGCAAAAGCCTGTTTGTGGCGGGAACTGGAATGGCGGGAAAAAGGAACGGAAATACAAGCAGCCATTGGGGGATTCAACTGTCAACTGCGTTTGCTAACGCGAATGCCCTTTCTTTACTGTTCTTTTTCTATCCTTTGGATTCACATTTTTTTTTTTTACTGCTTTTCTCATGTTTACTTCTTGTTAGTTCCTATTTTTATTTATTTCTGTCTTTTCGCTTGTTCCCCATTTTCTTTTATTTATTTATTTATTCAATTCTGTTTTCTTTGTCTGTTTTTGTTCTTTTGCTTTCCTTCACTTATTTTGTTTTGCCCTTCTTTATGAGTTTTAGGATATTTTCATTTTTTATTTCTTGTTTCTGCTTACACGTTTTTAATATGTTCACTTTCCCTCTACTTTATATAATTCAATTACATAGTTATTTTTCATTTTCCTTCATACTGATTACATTTCTAATCATTTTCTTTCATTCTGATTTCATTAAAATCAGTTTCCTTCATTCTGATTTTCATTCCCAATCAATTTCTTTCATTCCATTCTTATTTCATTCCTAATCATTTTCCTTCATTCTAATTTTCATTCTCAATCATTTTCTTTCATTCTGATTTCATTCCTAATCATTTTTTCATTCTGATTTTAATTCCTAATCGTTTTCTCTCATTCTTATTTTATTTCTAATCATTTTCTTTTATTCTCATTTCTTTCCTAATCACTTTCGTTCATTATTATTTCGATTCTAATCATTTTCGTTCATTCTGATTTCATTCCTAATGATTTTATTTCATTTTTACTTCAAGTCTAATCATTTTCATTCATTCTGATTTCCATCCCCAATCGTTTTCTTTCATTCGTATTTCATTTCTAACCACTTTTGTTCATTCTGATTTTCATTCCCATTTTCTTTCATTTTTATTTAATTTCTAATCAATTTCGTTCAGTCTTATTTCATTTCTAATCATTTTATTTTATTATTATTTCGATTCTAATTATTTTTGTTCATTCTGATTTCATTCCTAATCATTTTTTTCATTCTGATTTTCATTCCTAATCATTTTCTCTCATTCTTATTCCATTCCTAATCATTTTTTTTTCATTCTGATTTTCATTCCTAATCATTTTCTCTCATTCTTATTTCATTTCTAATCACTTACTTTTATTCTCATTTCTTTCCTAATCACGTTCGTTCATTATTATTTCGATTCTAATCATTTTCGTTAATTCTGATTTCATTCCTAATAATTTTATTTCATTTTTACTTCAAATCTAATCATTTCGTTCATTTTTATTTAATTCCTAATCATTTTCGTTCATTCTGATTTTCATTCCTACTCATTTTCTTTCATTCCTATTCATTTTCGTTCCTATTGATATCATTCCTGTTTTCATTCCTAATCTCATCTAACTGCGCGTTAATTTTTGGTACAACAAAAGAAATCCTAAATTTACTCATCTTTTAATTTTGTTCCATCATTATACATTCTCATTTATTTTATTTTACCCAAGATTCCTTTCGTCCCTCGCATTTTTCTTCTGTTCTTTCATTATTCTTTCTGCTCTATCCTTCATTTATGTTCTATTCTCATTCACCCTTCCTTCGTCCTTTTCTTCTGTTTTTCTGCTTCTTCCTCTCTTCATTTCAATCAATGTTACATTTATTTTTATTTTTTATTTTTTCTGTTAGCTATTTTCTCATCATTTCTTTAAATTGTAGCAAAATATTTTCCCTTTCTCTTATCACTTTTGGCATTTTCCTTTCTGCAGTTGAATTTAATATGGAAAGTTTTTAAAAAATATATATTTTACTCAATTTTTAAATTTTATTTTGACTCATTTCTTTTGTAATTTAATTTGGTTTTAGTCATTGTAAGATTTTTCTATTTCAATTAATTTATTTCTTGTATTTTCAATTCCTTGTTCCATTAATATGTCTTCTGTTTCGATTTCTTCATATATTCTATGATTTCTTAAGTCAAATAATTATTTCTGTTAATGTTTCCTTTTCTGTTTTCTTTCTGTCACCTTTGCTTTCTTCCTTGATTTTTTATGAATTATCTGCCTTCATTTAAAAAAGCAATTTTTGTTTTCTTGATGGCTTGTTACTCTTAAAGCTATCTTATTTCGATAAAATTTCTGCTTTTTCATTCATATTAGTCTTTTCATTCTGCCCACTCGATTAAAAACTTCCTATTTTACATTCGTTTTAAATATCCTCTCTCTTTCTATATATATATATATATATATATATATATATATATATATATATATATATATATATATATGGTCATCAATTACAAGATTGTTTCGTTGTATCACAGCTCAACATCTTCAACCCGGGATCGAAAGTCGACCGATTTGGCATCAGTCAGAGTATCTACCCCTAAGCTATCGGCGCAAGGCAGAGAAAGGGAATTTTTTAAACTGTTATATACGAGATCTATACTAACGCCAGTAACAAAGAGCGCACTATTTCTAATTAAAGAGCGATGCATTAATAGCAGCACCAGCCACTTTTGTTTATTTTATTTTTATTTTTAAATTGCCTTTACTCTATAGTGCTCAATCGACTAAGGTAAAAAACAATACTCATCCATGTTCAAGCCTGTTTCGCTGTATCACAGTTCATCACAGATAGATAGATAGATAGATAGATAGATAGATAGATAGATAGATAGATATGATTTGGGATTAAATATTGATCAATTATAGATCTGAATCCGACAATGAAATAATGAACTATTAGAAAAAGGTTATCAATTTAACATGTTTCTCTTTTATTAAATCTTCATCAGAGAATGACTTATGGCGAAAATAATTAAGATAATCTGGTACTTTTATTGTTGTGTTGTTTGATTTTCATTAGTTCATCACGTTGCACGTACATTAGCCTTGTTAAAGACACGTTAGTATAATTAATGACATTCCAATTTATAGAAATTGTTAATCGCAGAGAAGAAACGGGGATTGGTGATTATTTTACTTAGTTGCGCAATCTTATGGACAGGTAGAGGAAGTTTTCTTTGTTTTGTTTTTTTTAGTTGGTTTCTCAATATGTTGGGGTATTTTTTAACGGGTATATTTATGTATAATCCCCACAACAATGAAACAAATAAAGTAAGAACGAGTCATTACGTTCTAACTCGGAGCTGTTAGAATATGTATGTAGCCCAGAATACTTGGTGGAAGAAGAGAAAAAACATTGAAAACACATTTAGACTTCTTTACTAACCATATCATTTCATATTCACTGCTAGAAAAAGAAAATACAAAATCCACAAATGCAATAACCTCGACACCACCGATAGCACATCTAACATCAACAGCACAAAATTCATAATTATAACTTCTAATACACTTTCTACAAAAGTTGTAAATAAACGTGTTATAGAATCTCTATCACTACGTCCAAGACAATCGGGGATATAATTAGGAAGAAAAATATATCCAACGCCAATTCAGATGCCGATATTTATCAAATAAATTCCTTACAAATTTTGAAGCTCTTTAATCGGCGAGTCATCTTGACATCTAAAAGCTTGGATTTATGAACATAATAAGTTATTTGAGTTGGTACGACCCTTTAAACTTGCTCGTAATAAACAGGGAAAAACTGTCCATCACTTTCATTTTACAAATGCAACCTTAAATGAAAATGAACATAATTATTTACGCCAAAATCACTTCGAGGGATTAATAATACTTAAGGTCATAATAGTTGGCAAAATTAGGGTACCCCAAACCATTGTTGCATAAAGGTGATATGTGGCTAACATCTAGCACCTGTTTTCTCCCTAAAAGGGTTACGGTTTTTTAGGGTGTGTACGTTAATATGTGCCTCTGTATATATATATATATATATATATATATATATATATATATATATATATATATATATATATCCTGCTTTGTGAAAAAGTAAATGATGCTCTTGGAGCCCTATTCGTATGGTTATATATACTTGGATGAGTATCAACACCGGAATTTAGTGAGTAGTTGCGCTATATTGAGTCTATTTAGTTTCTTCTTCGTTACAGAGGCCTGTTACTCTAGTGACATGACACTTGGGTTTTAACGTAATGTTCCGGGTTCAATTTTAGGTAGCGGATGCGCAATGCAGAGGAGTTACAAATAGTCCGGAACGGCCTTTCCAATCTTTCATTTTGTTGAGTATTCTTCTAGTATCGATGAATTTCTCTCTCTCTCTCTCTCTCTCTCTCTCTATATATATATATATATATATATATATATATATATATATTACTGAAGTGTAATAAGTTCTCTCATTCTTTAAAAATTTTGAATTGAGTTTATCGACATCTCATAGCATTTTTAAGGGGGTGGATCATGGCTAAAATTCTGTGAGTAGCCGAGAAGCTGGAATTGAAGGAAGTGGGGATCAGAGTGTTTACTTGCACAAGGAAGGCACCAATCGACACCAAAATAAAATTTTCCTGAGAGTTAAGTCGGACGGACAAAATATGTGTAAACACATGCGCAACGGAATGATTCGGTTGGATGATTACCATGAAGTGTATATATGTATACATCTAAGTGTGAGGGAAGCAAATCATTACTTACCACTTGAAGTCGAGTATGTCACCATATTCCTTACCAGATGTAAACTAATTTTGCTTCCTTTTTACGGAAGAGCGTAGATTACTGGTGAACCGGAAGTTATCAGTGATTATACAGGGTGTTTCAAAAAATTTGATATCATTTCGCAATCTAATAACTTTGTTAGATCTCCTTCAAATTTTAATAGCATCTTTATGTTTAATGTTTGTTTTATGTTTTTATGTTTTTGTTTTTTTCTTATTTGTATTTTTATGTTCTTTAATCTTTAATCTTTTTCTTTACAGGTATAAAAATGCCGTGTCTCAGGCGGTACGCATATTGAACATTTGTGAAATCGTTCACATAATCCACATGCTTTTGAATTTCTCATTCAGATTTGGAAGAATAAATCTTATGATCTTCAACATTAATACTTTTTTTTAATTTCATTTGCCTTAATCATGTACTTTCTGTGATATTTACATCTCAAAGGATATCAAATTTTTTGAAACACCCTGTATTATAAATTGCCAAGAGGAGTAACAAAGTGTGATTGAGAAAATTGAAGCTAACGGAAGGTTCACAAGTCGATACCCGATCAGTATCGGCTGGGTCACTTCGGAGACGGCGTATGATGTTGAAAGACCCGAAACCACTAATGAACCTCAGCTCGAAACATCACTGATTATGTGTACTAAAGCATCCAGTGGACGTATTCGTAGCCTTGTGGTAAAAAAAAAAACGCAAGATGAAACTGTTGTTTCTCCGATAAAGAGACTAAGGTTTCGATTTTCTTTAATAAGATTAGTCGAATATGCTATTAGATATTATACACACTGTTAAAAATAAAAATGGAACGTTTATGTCAAATACGAGTATCCATTTTAATAAATTTCGAAGAGAGACAAGCGAAAGCAGCGCGTGACATTCCTGGCGGGCTTGAGCAGGTGACTGACACAAGGCGGCCTGGGGGAAGCAGCAGGGGGGAAGGAACTGGTTGAGAGCTGCAAGGGATAGAGGGAGGTGGAGAGCCATGATCGCCTACGTCCTGAAAGAACACGACATATATAAAGAAAAGAAAAAAACTACATTTATAATATTAGAAAGAGAATGGTGTTGTGGGGCGTTAATCTGTGAAAAGAAGTATTGTAAAATACAGGGTGACCATAAAGTTCGTGTGCACTTTCAAAATTATAATTTTAAAGTGCACACGAACTTTATGGACATCCTGTATTTTCCCCTTAAAATTTTACGTTTTTTTTTTTTTTTTTTTTTCAGTTATCCTTTTGTATCTCATGAAAAAGTTTCTTACTAATAGTTCCTGCAAATTTTAGTCTTGGATTTAACATACTTTGTAATTTTTACTATCATAGCTCAGTACAATTTCACAATTTGACAGTCACCAGAGTTTCAGTTGGGGTAAAAACTGACAAACTTACACACGTCAGAAGTGATTTTCACCCAATTTCGCCGCTGGGTCTTACTAAGGGATCAATGTGTATTCATATTTTGCCTGCTCTGAAAGGATTAAAAAGTTCGCCTTGAAATTGCCTTTACGATGGTACTGAAAGATTCAGTCTATTAACATAAAAGTACAGAACTTTCTTACTAATAATTGCTGCGTGTATACATCTACGCATAACGAGTCGTATTTCATCCTAACTGCGCAGATAGGTGTTACCATCATTCAGGAAATACCTAAAATTCCAAAATTTATTTACTTTTTATATCAATAAAATAATGAAAGAGGATTTTACATTTTTCTTCGTAACAAAAAAAAAAAAACATTATTTCATATTTAGTTGTCCGAGGGAGAACAAAGATTGTAGAATCGAACATATATTAAATGTCCTCTGCTGCAAATGATTTATCGTAACGTTTATTAAATTTTCACAGGTACGAATCAAATATTTTAAAGAAATATGCTGCGCCCTCACTAATACTGAAGACTATTTTTAATATTTCATTGCAAATATTAAAAATGACTTCGTGATGGTTCACGTAGATCAACTATAAACATGATCTTTGTTCATAGATTTTTCTGGTTAGCTAGCGAGATAACTATATTATTATACTTACCTATCAATCATGAGAGATAGAATGAAAGAAAGTATAAAACTATAGAAGCGTAAGCAAAGGTAAAAAAAATGCTTGATCGAATTGAGTAATATGTCTTTGGTAAAATATCTAATAGATTTCGCCCTTTCTTTATTTTTCTCATTTTCCGATTAATTATCTCTCAAAGGGTTACACAAGTCATAGATGGATGGAAGACGTATTTCTTGTAAAAGCTGTTGGCGGGGTCTAGAATTCATCGCCTCCATCCGTTACAGAAGGTTAGAATCCTAAAATAAGGGTCTAAATTCCAAGTGGATAATTGCAGAATCGTAAACAAGTGCAATGTCTGCCTTTCATTGAATGTTTGGCTAATCGCACCAAAATCAAACTTTCTAATAATAATTTCTAATTTTTTTCACCAAAATAACTGAAATATTCTGGGTGAAATCAAGCTATTCTGATTGTCCATGTAAATGCTGATTTTGAAATGTAAGCTTGGTTGAGGAAACGTCAGCACCCTTAATTAGAAATAAATACAATCTGTTACTAAAATTATTATTATTATTTTTATTTTCTTTGATTTCTGGCGTTTACATTACTTTCGGGTCCCCCAGGACCTAAGGTTAGAAATAGCGTCATGACACTTTCCACTGAAAAAAATACATAGATAAAGCCCTTCTTAAAGTGTGGGCTGTACTTGTCAGAACAATTTTTTGTATCTCCTTGAGGCATGGACTTCCAGGAATCTCTTCAATTAGTCTACTGCAATCTTTTCCAACCAGTCCTAGGGCTCTAACTACAACAGGGATTGTTGATGTTCCCATATGCCACATTTGCGAGATTTCTATTTCAAGGTCCTTGTATTTTGACAATTTTTTGAATATCTTCAAAGATACATTGCAGTCAGCAGAGACTGCCATATCAATAAGGAGGCACCGTTTTTGTTTGTGGTCTTTAATAACAATATCCGGGCAGTTGGCCTTGAAATATTATTATTATTATTATTATTATTATTATTATTATTATTCAGATCTTTGTAAATTTTGGTTTATTGCTATTTCTCCTAAACCTTGTTGTGCCATGTATTTACACAAGATTGTTAAGAAGTTCGAGTATTGCTTTCCCCCATTGTCGTTCTTGTCTTCAGTATGTTTAGTGAGCATCAAATTTTCAGAGCTGTCATTCCTTATTATGTAGCAAAGACATTTCAATTTCTCTCTTCATAAAGTTAAGAAGGTGTGTTCTTTTTGTTTCCATTTTCATTGGAACTTCAACGGTGTTTACATGTTCGGTTTATGGCATCGTAATCATCCTTCTGTAGAACAACATTTCTGTTGCTCCAAGTCGCTTCATAAACTATGCGGGGATTGTCGCGTATTCACTGACATATAGGAGGAGAGATGTAACGTAACAGTTCAGTACTAATTTTCTTTTTTCTGTAGCTCCAAGTTTCTACATCATCTGTGAGGAAATTGTCCTGTATTCACTGGCATATAGGAGGACAGATATCATGTAACAGTTCAGTACTTTTTTCCTTGTTTCACCTGATTTTTTTTCTGTTTGTCAATACTCTGCTTAGCTTTTCACGTGCATCTTTGGCTATCCTAAAACACATACCAACGCACACAAAATATATATATATATATATATATATATATATATATATATATATATATATATATGAAGAAATATAGTTTTAAGGTGTGTTATATTTATGGGATAAAGTGCTCAATGTCAGAGATAGAGCGTATGTAAATATAAATATAAGTGAACATTGAATTCAACACTCAGAGACGACAGGCTGTTTCATGCTGGACGCAATCGGCGGCCTAACGATTGCGTCTAGCATGAAACAGCCTGTCGCCTCTGAGTGTTGACTTTCAATGTTCACTTTATATTTATATATATGTTTGTCTGTGTGTATGTGTGTGTGTGTGTGTGTAAAGCCCCAGACATAGAAAACATATTTTACACAGACAGAAACCCTGTTTATATATTATATATATATATATATATATATATATATATATATATATATATATATATATTGGCGGTCTCTGGACGCTCATAGCAATGTATGCACCTGTACTAGGGCGTCTAGTAATTGCCTGCTACAGAGGCCTAATAGTCACATTTGCGTTTGTTCAATATTCGCATCACCCGTTTGGGGGTAATACTACAACTCTACTGAGCGGATCGTACTAAATTTCTGGGAGAGAAACTTATCTGAACAAGTCTAGGTCATTTATACCCTCAGTCACGATGATTTCCGACAGCCTCCAAGCACAAATACGAACCATTCCCAAAATAGTTTTGTCTACTCAATTTTACTCACAAAGTTTGGGTCAACCCGTGGTAAGATTTTCAGGCAAATTCCAAAGGTATCTCATATCGCATGCCGAGATCTCCTCCCATATTCGATAGACTCATGAATATTACATTCCAGATAAATTGTCCGTATTATGATTCGAACCCGTGATCCTTGACCGGAATTCAGCATTCTATCTATCTATCTATCTATCTATCTATCTATCTATCTATCTATCTATCTTTATATATATATATATATATATATATATGGACTTACTTTTCGAACAAAATATAGTATTTAAGTTTTTGTGAGGCAAGGACTTTAGAAAAGATGCCTTGTTATTTAATGCCTCTGTCTATGTATCCTATTAAATCTACATGGGGTGGTTCCACCCTTTTGGTCGTGACACTTACTTATAATGGAATGTAAATGCACCTGTCTCTGTCAATAGTGTGATACAACTGTAATCAGTTAGAGGCGCAGAAATGCCCATACTCCGCGAAAATGTCACTTCCAATGGAAAAAGGAAAAGATTATTTCAAAATGAAATTAGGGAAAAAAAATTTAAACGAAAAACTAGTTTGATATTTTTTTTTATATATATATATATATATATATATATATATATATATATATATATATATACGATAGTATTATGGAGTAAGGTTAGGTAGAAGTACGGTGGGGGTCTCCAGCATCTTTGTAAAAAGTAATCGACCGGATAAAAAGTAGTGTATTTCAAATACTACCCACAATTAGGAGACATTGTGGAGTTATGGAGAGCGGCTCGGATTGAGGAATTGGAAAGCCGAGTTCGAATTCACTTACATTCATTACATTCATATACGTCCCATACCCTTGGGAAATATATGAATCCTTTCCTTCTCCCTTCATATATGGGTAAATAGCAAGAGAGACCGGGTTCTATAGCCTTTCTACCGCAGACAGAAATGGCAACCTAATTCGGGAAAAATAGCGATCATGTATCGAAAGATACATGAACGCCTAAGCGTGTATCACACATGACGCATAACTTACTCATTCATAAGTGTTTATTATAATAAAATCTGTAGTAGATGAAGCCATATAAGGACACCGACCCAATTTACATTTAATATTAAATTAATACGAAGTTTGATCAGGTATAAGCTATGTATTATTACTGATGGTAATCCGATTAATATATATCCGATTAATATATATATATATATATATATATATATATATATATATATATATATATATAGATAGATAGATAGATAAATAGATAGATAGATATAAAGATATATATATAAAACCAGACAGTTTGAAAAATATTCAGCAAGGACTTACTTCATGATAGGCGTCACCCCACCCAATCTACACACAATCTTAACATGATCCGGTATACACGATTAACCACCTCTCCAAAGGAATATCATCCACGATAAACCCCGATGCCAAGTCTGTTGGCATATCATCGCTGTTAGAAATTTCACACACACCGGAACACATGTAGTATTCAAACACCCGGCTCTGAAATGTGACTGTTCAAATCGTATATATTTATTTTTTGCCACAAATGGAAAAATGGAATTATAATGGAGAAACTGCAACTGAATTCAGTCTTCGGTTCAAGAACCATAAAAAAAATCATCAGAGACAACAACAACAATTTTTTACCTGTCGCTGCATACTTCAACCAACTATTTCATATCAGCCATGTCATCAGATTCATGCTTTTAGATCTTCTTTCAACAGCCGTAAAGAAAGACGTCGATCAGAGTTGAAATTTATTTTTCAAATAAATTTACACATTGAAGGATTAAACAGGGATATCGTTTTACTCATATTGTAAAGAAGGTAGAAAATATATAAAGGTGGTGAGTTATAAATTTAAAAGTTTAGGAAGATTGCAATGTTAGATCTGTAATGTGCCTAAAAAACGGTAGTTTCATAGGTTTTTGTAGGCAGATTAACATTGCTATCCTGCTAAACTTTTAAATTGATAACTCACCACCTTTATATATTTTCTACCTTCTTAGATATTTTCTTACTGATCTATCTTAGATTAAGATTCTAAATTATTTCTACACATATATAATAATAAGAATCGTATCAGATAAATTGATCTGTATCCATACTTATTCTACAAGTTCGGCAGTATATCAACGTTTGTTTATAAAACATGATATTAACTTCCATACTTTATAAATCTTTTTACTTGTATCTTAAACTCTGAAGTAAAACTTATTGTAAACACCATAAATGATTTATGTATTAAACAAAGCAAAGATAAAAATATTCTACTTAAATGACTATTTATTAATTTATATACTACATTTATTTCAGAAACAAATAACAGAAACTTCAGCATAAATCTACGTAATTTAGTGATCCTCGACGCTTCATCGGTAAAAAAATCGTTTTAAATTACTTCTATGGCCTTCGCCTATACTAGGTCTGTCCGTTTCTTTGCTCAAAAATCGTATAGCATGAAGAAAAAAGGCCCCAAACTTAATAAAATCAAAATTTTATCGTGAAAAAATTTGTTATTATTAAGAGGACAGATCAAGGTATTTTTGAATTATTTTTTTTAATTTTTTGTTCCTTTGCAGCATGTGTTAAATTTAGGTGGAAAATCTTTGTTTTTTTTAGGTCAGCGATTAGGTAATATTTAGCATTAGTTGGTTTTACACTGTTTTCAGTTGAAAAACACATTGATTTGAAAAAACTTGCAAAAATCAAGTATTTGTTGTATTTTAATTAAACCTTCTGTACTTATTCACAAATGAATGAAATTATTTTAGAAATGTTTGTCTTTTCGAAAGTCTTTGTATAAATATCTTTTTATATCTGTTAACCCGCCCACCGAACTTAATTTTATGAAAACTTCAAACATTTTTTTTTTTTTGCAACATTAATTTTTTTAATCAAATGCACAAGAAAAAATATCCAAAATTGTCTAAACTTTTACCTCAGTTATAAAAATACAAATCCCAATAAACCTAAGACAATATTTAATTAAATAAACCTTTTAATGGCTTTTCTGAATAACATATACTAAGGTAATTTTTATCTGAAATAAAAAAAAAATGATGATAAATGTATTTTTACAATACATTTTCTTTTGTTTTTAATTTTAAATACATTTTATGACAAAAGGTTGTTATATATTTTAAAATTAAGTTTCTTTATGAAACCTTATGGAAATAATATATGTTCTCTACTTTTTAAAGATCATAAATTTGAAAGCTCATTAAAATCTGACAAACGTGTATATTTTTAAAATATTTTTTTTAATATTCCAAAATTGTATTTAAAATCGTCTCCAACGAAAGTATTGATGCACAGTTTTGAAATAATGACACGCGGGGTAGAGTTGTTTCCTTTGATAGAAGCAAGTTGTTTTTACTTCAGAAATTGCTTTGCATTCGTTCAGTTAGCAACACAACAACGCTTGTCAAGTTTTCTGACTGAATATCGTCGCATATTCCAATTCTTTCTTTTCAATTTTCAAATATAAACAATATGTCCTTTTTAAGTGTGAGACAAACTGCAAATATTCTTTCCTTTTTTTATCATTTTATATTCAATTTTAGGAACGAAAAGAGCGCAATGGCTTTGATTCTCAGAAAAATATTTTATCATAACTAATACAGCTCTTTAAACGCTTGTTTTATTTTTGTCATATAAAAGACATGATGCGAAAAAAAGAATGTTATTTGTTAAGTGTTGTTGTCATCACCCCAGGTCTTAAAAAAAAAAAACAAAGCACAACACATCAAGCCATTTTTCAAACGTCAGTTTGAAAAAATAAATAAATAATATTGCTGATCCCAATTTTGACCCCACCTTTTTTTTTACGCTTTGTTCTTATCTGAGAGCGGTGGGTTTTTACAAAAAGTTTATTGCTAGCTTCAAACTCAATTTTAAGCCTGATATATAGTTTGATTATGATTTAGGCTTTCTGATTTTCCAAAAATAAAAATGGTTAATTTCCCTCTCCCTCAAACGTAAGGTTAAAAATATCTGGAAATGTATTTTATACACTAACCAGGTTCACTTAAAACTAGAACGAAATATATCACTTATGCCCTACCGTCCGATAAATTACCCTGACGTAAGTTGCCGATATATTGACGTACATCAGTTAACACCTCTCATACGCGCGCAAAAGCAAGCACCACGGTTGGAAATGTCTCTCTTAAAAAAATTTCTGATAAAAAAGTAAGTGATGTTTCTTTCAAATTACATTAAGTATACTTTTAATTTTCTAATTTTCCTAAAATAACAAAAGAAAAAGGTGCAACTGAATTTTACAGGATTTTTAAACTAACTTTGATTTTGTTTAGAAAGTCAGACAAAAAGGCCGACAAGGCCGAATTTACGAATTTTTTTTTTGAATCAAGAAAAAACAAAGTTTTTAAATAATTTTTTTTAAATTACAGGAAGGATTAAAACATTTGAAAAAATATTCAGAAAATACTTTTGTCTTTCATCTTAATAGTAACATAAACATTTAGACGTTAAAAATGTTTTGTATCAAGTTAGGAGCTTTTATTCTTCATGCTATACTTATTTTTTTGCGAAGTGTTAGACAAACCTGACCTATAATTATTCCTCCTTTGTCCTTTATCGTTTTTCCTCTTTACTATTTCCACCTTTCCTTCTCCCTCGCCCTCCCTCTCTCTTTCTCGTTTTTCTTTTGAGTATTGGCGTACTTTGCTTAGATTTCTTACTGTTGCACGGTATCAAAAGCTGTAGCTGACACTTCCGCTTTGTTTAAACTTTTAGGTTCAGGGCCTTCTCGTAACGCCTCAACATTCCTTCATCGCCCAAACTGCTATCAACAAATAATATTGCCTTATTCTGTCACCCTCTTTCTTTTCCTTCTCTTTTCTCACTTTTTGTTACCCATCTCCATTTCTTTTTAAGGTGTTTCTCCATATAGTGTTTTTCTTTTCCATAAGCGTTTTGTTTTTAAATAGAATTCTTCATAAGCATTTTTGATTCTCATCAGTCGAGATGAAACCGCATCGAAACAAAAATACATCTTTGTAGTGAGCAAGTTGTTTTTTTCCATATGTAAAAATTATAATAAATAATTATTGCTCTAGTCTTGGTATTAAGCCTTCTTTTGAATTAATGCTGTGGACGCTAGAATTTATATTATTTTCGTTCCCATTACAGTCGTATATATATAATATTTATGTTAAAACATTTTAAGCAAACTATATTTCCAATATCCACTAACTCTTATCGCTCATTTCAGCTGATATTTGTAACAAGGAAAAAACAATTACAGGCTTGGGCTATTTTGGTTCAATATCATATGCTATACCACTAAAATCCTGTGATGTTATCCTCCTAATGTCAGATACCACAAAGGAAGACATTATAATATTTTAAGAATATATGGAGACATGACTATTATCCACGTATAATGCATTTTCACCCTGGAAAACAGTCCTAAGAGAACTACAAGAGCGACCAGGAAAAGAAAACTATGAAAAATACAAGGAATTATTAACAGTGAACACTATCTGAATGTTAGATATGCAGATGGCACTTTGTTGATGTCAGTCTTGGAAGGAAAACTGAAAGAAGAAAAAAAAGCACGGAGTAATGCCTATTAATTCCATTACGACAATCCCAGAGTACGCGCTGTATTGAACACGTCGAAATCAAGCAGTGATAGAAATATTAGTATCTCTCGTAGTAGGAGGCGTATTATATGACAGAGATATCAAAAGGCGACGAAGAAGAACGGAATTAAGTATTAAGAGTAGGAAATCATCATTAGAAACAAATGAAAATATACTGTTCTGCTATAAAATGAAGGGAGAAGAAACAACAGAAAAAGTAAAAAAGAAATCTTCAATTTCAAAGAGGAAAAGATGGATTACATGGCAAATAAGGGAAATGAGAAGAAGAATTGAAAAGGGGAAAAAAGGAGTGTAAAATAGAAACAATGAAATGAATGAGAAAAATTAAAAAGAAATTGAAAATGAGATAATATGAAAGATATTGAAGAAAAGAAAGTAAGTGAGATAAAGAAAGAGAAAGAAAGAAGGGAAATTGGAAACTGCATAATGAAAGAGATAAAAAAAGAAAAAAAAACATCTTTTTACGATAAAGAATAAAATATCTATAGCTAGGTCAAAAAAGAAAGAAGAAACAGGCGTACAATGTAATATAGAAAAAGAATGAAAACACGAAAAATGTGAAAAAATAAAGACAATGCGATAAAGAAAGAAAAAGAAACAGAAAGTTTAGTTTATCTTTATCCTATTTTATCATTTGTCTATATTTCTGAGATGAGGTATTGTAATTATTTATACTATTTTCCATTTTTGGAATGTTCTCCTCCTCTTTACTGATATATTTACGACATTTCGGCAGTTGTACGCTCCGGCCTTCTTCAGCTGAGATACTTTGGAATTTTGAAGCGTACACTTTATGTCATCCAGTAGGTTAAATTGTTCTAGTTCCATATGTCATGACTTTTCTGGATATTTCATTTTCCGTTATCTCCCTTAACTAACCCAACTCTCGCAGCTTTTGTTCGCCTCTGCTTTGACTAGGTACTGAACTCACAACTCTTTGTTTCAAATCCCTGCATTACTTCAACCAATACTTTCATACACTAGGTGATGTATCCTTGAGAAAAGAAAGGGTTCGATTCAAAATTCCAACGTATGTCACCTGAAGTCTGCCTGAGCCTACAATGGCCGAAATGTCGTGTATATGAAATTAAGATGAGGACAACAGTTTGAACAATGTAAAGAGTTTAAATATTGTACTTAATGAATAGTCTCGTCACAGAAGAAAAAAAATATTTGAAGTGAAATAGATGCGATTCTACTGTTGGATATTGAGAATGACATAAAGTAACTAGGTCAACAGGAGAATCTTTTAAGGAGAATAGATTTGGTTTAGTTTGGCTTGTTTTACGGCATATCAACCTCAATGGGTTATTTAATGCCGACAACATTTTTATTGTTTGTAATATATTTCTTTTTAAAGATCTATTTTTGGTAATATTTTTTCTTTCAAAAAATCTATTTCTGGTAATATTTTTCCCTCAGATATGTATCGCTGGTAATATTTTTCCCAAAATGTATAGCAGGTAATTTTTTTTTTCTCGAAAATGTATAACTGGCAATATTTTCTTTTTCAAAAATCTATTGCTGGTAATAATTTTTAAAAAGAATTTCTGGTATTAAAACCATAGTGTTTTGACTCCAGTTTGGAATTAACTATTTGCCCCTAGCTGGGACCCTAGCAGCTGCTACCACTCCGGGTCAGTGTGGACCTAGGAACGCAAGCAATTGAGAGGTGGTTCTTCTCAAAACCTTCTGATCAGAAGCCTTGTTGTTGGACGTAGTTTATCGTCTTAGCCGGGACGCAGAGAGGAATATAGGTAATAAATCGACACTTATTTTTACAATGTGAATGATAGATTATGTTTTTGGGGTACATAATGCAGAAACAAGGCCTAGAGATTATAACACTGACAAGGTATTGTATGCAAGAGTATCGGCGAAAAAAAAACGAGTAAACATATGAGTATTTCTGAATGGTTGGCAGGCAAAAAAAACAAACAAACAGGGATGGTAAGGAGAAAATGTTTTCTTAAAGGTTTAAAATACTTGAATTTATGGAGTGTCATGGTGGTCTAAAATCTAAAGCGGCAAGACTGATAAAAGACAATCATAACATTTCTGCATGTTCATGCATGATTTAAGAAAGACGAAAAGAAAGCGAGAGAGATAAATTATCAAATATCTCTAGTCTTTGCATTCTGCTTTCATATTTAGGACAGAATCCCAGATTAATTTCTCATGAGCAATCTTTATGTCATACCAATAGTTCTATTGGGATATCAGAATACGCGCTGCAGAATCGAGAGAAAGTTTAAGTCAATAAATCTTTAATCAAATTGATATCCCTATTAGATATATTAGGCACAGCACACTTGCAAGCCTATATTTAAATGCAAGCATATCCCTAGATACGAACAGAAGTCCCCCAATAAATGTGCTTAGACGTTTCAATCAAAACTCTTGATAACGCCAATTTTGTTACGTGAACGTACGTTTTCTATTCATCCCCAAATAATATTTCGACATTAAAGAAAGCTAATCGAGAACATATAACAAGCTACCGTAAGGAATGTTCTCTGTGTTGCGCCAGAGATTTTTCCTCGCCTGAGTCTATCCTTCATATCTACGAATCTACCATTTGTCCCTTCTGCTGCCATATATGATCTGGTGCCCTCGCTCTTCGTCTCGACGTCCTAAATCCAGAAACGTACATACAATGTGATAGGTCCTGATCTGGCATCTCGTCTACAGTTACCTTCTCACAGATGTGTTCTGGCTTCCCTCTGTCTTTTCTACAAATATTTTCAAGGCAACTGCTCTGACGAGCTACTTTCACTGGTACCCCAAATCCACGAATTTAATCTTGCTACTAAGTTGGAATATCGGTCCCACCTTTTCGCTATCAAACAGTTAAATATAACCACCTCTTTTAATCCAACAGCTTATTCTCTCGCACTTCTCGACAATGGAACTCCCTTCCTCCTCCTTGTTTCTCTGACAGCTATAATCTTCAAATATTCAAATATAGTGTCAATCGATATCTTCTGATGCCTTGATCCTGATCCTCGTCCTTCTCTATATCCTTTCCTCAAACACCCCTCTTTACTCTTGCTCTCAACCCCTTGCGTGATTCTGGCGCTCCCGCCTTGCTTGAGGTGAAATGCTTAAAAAATGCATTTGTTTCAGTCGACGCTTTTCTTCATACGGGAAGTATGATATATTTCCAAATATCTTCACCTAGATATTAAGCTACAGTTTTATTTTTAATTTTCTAATATATAATATTTGGTTGACACTGTTTATTACAGATGAATTTCTTAGCGACAAGGCGCCAAAATGGACACTTTACATTGTCTTGCGATGCGTACACCGTTTTCACATCTAACGTCTTTCAACACTTCGCTGAACTAACGGAAATGTCTGAGGTATGAACATTTTTTTGCTTTTAAATTTATATTTAGACTGATGGCGATATTAGACGTTTTCCTACAAGGAAACGTTTGATATTCTTACACCGAGCCTCTAGTATTGATGTCGGTTGAAATTTATGAAATCTTTATATTAAGACAATTTTCAACGAAAATAGTTTCGCAAGTCAGGTAGATGTTAACAAAGTGTTGATGAGTTTTTCCTACCTAATCTTTTATTTTCAGTGGTTTGGAACTTTAACAACTTGATTATAACATTATGTTCTCTTCGAGTTAGATGTGCCATCCATTTTAGTTACGGCTTCCGTTGATAATGCTCAAAAGACATAGTTATTTAGTACATTTCTTTGTGATTCTATAGTGCCAGTACACATTTTTGACAATAATAACAGCTGATCGCTTAATAAATGACAAATGTTTCCTGATAAGCAATCGGTGAATACCACCATTCCCGTTAGCGTAAACATTCGTTGAAATGTCCCCAAGAAATGGGATTTTTCTAAATAATTATTTATATATATTTTTTTAGATTTCTTCTTTATTTTATGTAGGAAGATATATTTTAGGCTGTATATTTAAAATCCTAGTCAAGTAGACTAAATTAAAAATAATCTTGCACTTAAAGCCTCGAAAATGTAACTAACCGTCGTATTTAGGAAATGATAACTCCTCAGAGAATGAATGAGTTAAGCCTTGGAGAAAACAATTATATTGAATATAATTCTATACACTATTATTAATATAGTGATTTTCTAAATCTAACTTGGATGTGGCACAAGGCCGAAAGTAAGGGGCACCCAGTGAGGACTGAACTCACTACTCAGTCGTAATTGTTCTAGCGAGACAAACTTGCTAAACATTACACCACCTCGAGGTGGCCAAACTATTATTAATATATTCACTATATCCTTTAACACGCTGAACGACCTATGATCTTTATGTATCTGCTTGCAATATTTTCTGAGACTTTCACATTAGAATAACAGAAGATGTTATCAAAAGCCTAAGCAAAATGTTTTTGAAACATTAGGAAATTTTGTTTAGAAATAAAATAATTAGCGCTGAACTGATGTGTAATATCAATTCTCTGTGAATTCTGGGCAATTTAATTTCAGGTAAATTGGAGAGATGAGGCAACAGAGTTGGAGTTCGTCGTAATGATGCTAAGAATTCCATGGACAGAATATTTTAATTAAAAGAATTATGAAGCAAATGGAAACAGAAAGGACACTTATATTTAAAACCAGGTGAAAAAAAAAAACAGCTGAAATATCCTAAGGAGGAAAGCAAGCGTGGAAAATGTTACACTCAAAAGAGAGACACAAGACAAAAGTGACAGAAAGAAACGCGGTTAGTACTTAACTATACCAACTTAACGAACATGTATCAATGGCCCGACAGGCATGCGTAATAAAAGTGTAGAGTTTACTAAAAGCTACAATGGATATGAAATTGTTGAAAGCCGTGAACTCCCGTGTCCTGAATGGACATGGAAGAGAAGAAACGACACTTTCAGGGAAATAACTAGAATGAAGATAGAAATGGGTAGTGTGAAATAAAGTGACTACTTTGCTTTGAATCAGAAAGATACACTTCCGGTATCTGCGACTCATAATATGTAAATATTTTTTGGAAAATGTAACACACACATACTGACTGCAAGATGGACTGAGAGAAACATCGAATAGACAAACTAACGAACTTGTGTATATTGATGGAAGGACATGGATTGGGATGGAGAGTAAAAGGACAAATATTGCTAAAGAAAAAAAAAGAGGAATATTGCTAAGAGATAGAGAATGTTTTGTTGAGTGAGTTCGCTTATGTCGTTAAGTGACACGGCATATAGAAAAAAGAAGAATAAGATCAACTGCATATATAAACATCAGAATGAAAGTCTTAATCCATTTGCGCAATAAAAAGAAGAAGAAGAAGAAGACGGTCAACTGTATATATAAACATCAGAATGACCGTCTTAATACATTTGCTCAAAAGAAAGAAGAAGAAAAAGACGATCAACTGTATATATAAACATAAGAATGAACGTCGTAATCCATTTGTTCAATAAATCCAGCTTTTCATAGAATTTTATTTTTTGTTTTATTTTATATACATATCTATTTTAAAATCACAGACATAATGTAAACGAACCCTTAAGTTTAGCTATAATGTTGAAAAATCGACTTTCAAGCAAGTAAGTGCGGCATTTACTGTGAAACGTAAATATTAACAAACACACGCTTACACATATTATTAAGGAGGCACACTCATTATTATAAGCACACGCTCACCACCCTAAGAACAATAACGTATATATCTCCATGGGCATCGGTTTAAATCATTTGCATTGTGCATACTGACTAAGACACACATTGGAGACTCATTGAATGACATTTTTCTCTCTTCTCTTTTCGAAGCCAGTCAGTTGTTGGCGCTGTTTGTTCGAAAGTCCAAACCAGGGCATTTATACTGATAGATGTGGCTCAATGAAGACTGTTTCGCAAGAAAAGACACCGTGTCATTCCTTCGTGCATTGCTGGTTGATCTCATGGCGCATCGGTCATTTGAGGTGAGCAGAGACGTCAAAGAATCGAGGGCCTCGTGCCAACTGCCCGTCCATACAGGATCAGGCTGGGGCAGTGAACTGAGCGCTAACATCGCCAAACAGCGGTAATAAATTCCTGTCCATCATAGTTAGATACCATTGGAATTGAAGGCTGAGCGCCGAGGGAGGAAGCACAGCCCCACAAGCGTTGGTGGACAGCAAAATGGGAGATATGACTTTAAGTGGATGTGGTGAGGAAATTCAGTATTTATATAGGATTTTGTGTGAGTGTGTGAGACAAACTTAACGGAAGTGTGAACATGAGTTAGAGTATATTACTGGGTGGTTGAACAGATATTGAATAAATGTCAATTAGTCTGGCACAAGGTCTTATACAAAGAGCATCACGTGAAGGTATAAATCTAAAGCAGACTGTGTCAATGATTCGCAAACAACCTCTGTACCGTCGGCATCCATTTATTACTATTATAAAATTTAATTAACACATATTCAAGTAAGGAAAGGAAGATTACTTTGCGCCAATTTCCTTATGGTAGATATCCACCTGCATTGCAAAATACAGAGTTTATCATAAATAACTACATTTGAAACCGGTCAGCATTAAATAGTAACTATTATAATACCATGTGTTCGATCTTATTTTCTGTCTTAGTTTGTGGTTTGTGTCGTGTGGATCTGAACTTAGTAAATCTCTCAGAATAAAGATCGAGATATTTTTGTCTGATTACCAAAGGATGTACGTGCTGCAGTGTAAAGAATATTGTCGCAGAAAGTAGAAATGCCAATTCTGGTCAAGTGTTTTGCGATCACATTTACAGAAATACGCTTTGAAAAACAACAAATCCACCTCTGCTCTCCATACATGTTAAATTACAGGGTAGACTGGTCCATTTATTCTTGATTGAAAAACCTCTTCCTCTCTTTTTTTATAAGAATTATTGTCAATTGACACATAATAGAGAAAACGTGCCCTAATAATTAGTTTATTTTACAAAGAATCACGACATGGACTTGTGGATTTGTTCCCGACTAAAGAAAAATTAATGCATTTACGGTTAATTTGCATATGAGGCAAGAAAGCTGATCTTGCAGATGTTTTATAGTCAGGTTGGCCTTCATTGGTGGCTCCACACTTGTGGATGTCTCTTGCCTATATATAGTTGCAAGCGCATGGAAATGTTTAATATTCCATTCGATAATATATAGATCTCCTGTGCCAATACACAAACACAAATATGGTGATATATGTAAGCATTATATATATATATATATATATATATATATATATATATATATATATATATATATTTGATTTTATTTTATGAATTCTGTGCGTTCTATTTGGAAGGAAAGTAAGAAGTAAATATTCCATTTATTACTATGTATATGTCATTCCCATATATTTGGCCATGAAAATTTCTTGGCCTGACCCAGTTCCCAATATCTGTCCAAATGAATAAACATGCGAATTGTTTGAAGTGCGTATTCGGATATTCCTTCAGTGAAGATATATGGCATATACTGGTAATAATATTTGTAGAGATTAACACCTTTAGTGTCAACTGATTTTTTGCTGAATTTTAGGCCAAGAATAGAATAATATTATCGGTGTAGAGCGTTAAAGCGTAAAGTACTAAAAGGAAAACAAAATATAGACAAGACATGATCTCCAAAAGCAGCCCATACTTCCCTAAAAATATTAATGCCAACATTGATTAACTACAGAAGAAAATATCCCAATTCAAAGAAGATTTATTCCAAAATGTCTTAAACCATTCCAAAATATTTTCAAAATTTAATTAACGCATTGAATGATTAAAAACCGTTCTTATATAATTAGAGAATTTTGACAAGAATTCTTTGAGAACATAAAAGCAGATTTATAAACCCAAACAATGTATATTAAATTAAATGAGTAAACCACTGATGACACGAGAGCAAAACTCTCACATGAATAATTATATTTTATTTAACTGGGGACATCTTCAATTTAAAATCAATGAATGTGTCTATGTGTTTTAACTATGGACTAACGAACTATACTCAGTGAATGTTTATTTATAGACTCAAAGAATGTATAATAAATTATGTGGGAAAGCCAATAACATGAGACCATTGTGTATATGTCTTGGGTGCTTTTTCTGAAAGAGGAATTTTATTCTCGTTAATTTCAAGATATTCTCTGACTCGTGCATCTGAAATTGGCATTTACGTATTTACATCTCCTCATCCATGCTTCTGTATCCGACGCATTTTCACCTTGGCTGCTAGGGGTTTATTCTTCATATAAAACCGCTGGTGCACCTGTATTCTTTAAGAGACTGCTGCGACATTTAGTAAAATACTATAATTTTGTTTATTCTTTCCTTAGTTAATGAGTCAGTACCTGCGTTACAGACTGTTATTACCTCAGATAAAAGATAGACCATTTCGTTTTGCTTGCAAGGAAAGACGGATGTAAAAAATATATATTAAACGCCCTGACTAAAATTACAGGGAATAAATATAAATATACGAAATTGGTGCGTCCTGCGTATGACGATAAACTACATCCGCATCCTGGGTATGACGTTAAACAACATCTGCGTACTGGATATGACGATAAATTACACCCGCGTCCTGGGTATGACAATAAACTACATCCAACAGCAAGGCCTCTGATAATACGGTTTTGAAAAAATAATGTTGCCAGTTGTACATTTTTGAAAAAAAAATAATGTTACTAGCAATGCGTTTTTTTTTTTAAATATATAACCAGCTATACGTTTTGAAAAAAATAATATTTCCAGCTATGCATTTTTGAGGAAAAAAATATTAACATAAATGGATTTTTGACAACAACAAAAAATATTACCAGAAAAAAAAAAGAAAAGTTGTCGGCATTAAATGACACATTAAGGATGATTTGGCGTAAAACAAAACAAACCAAATTGGTATATTGGGTTTTATTCGTTGCAGATTTTAGTTTCCTGGTTTGAATTTTCTAATGCATCATAATTCATAATTTAACGATTGAATAAGCATCTTGCAAGTTCAACCAAAATGAAATAATCGCATAAATGTCCTTATTACAATGTTAAATATTTGAGTTTAGAATCGTTAACAAAATATTGCAATAAAGTTCATAAGTATGAATGCAGTTGATTACTTCAAGAAGTAAGAGAGTACAAATTAAAAGTTTACAAATTGACAAGGTATTCTCTTTCGCTTAAGCTGATGAACTAAGAACTACATCCCACCCACTATTTTCACTTTCTTTTTATCTATTATATCTTTACAAACTTTAAACAGCGCGCTTAATATATTTTTTACTTCCATGATTTCTTGCAAAGCAAAAAGGTATGTTTTAGCAGGTATCTGAAGTAATGGCAGGATATAACGCAAGTGCTAACTTATTAACTCAGAGAAGAAGTAGTAGATTTATTATGTGATTTCACTAAAATTTCCTCGTATAGGCTGGAGATTCTATAAATGATAGCAACACCAGCTGTTTACCTATGACCCCTTCCGCCTCCATAGTTGTCAATGTCGCAAGTTTTAAAGATGAGAAATCATATCATCCAGGATACAAAACCTAGCATTATGCTTAAAGGTTCGATACATAATCATGTAGAACGAGGGGGAACATATAAATGCAGATTCAAAAGAGAGAGAGAGAGAGAGAGGGAGAGAGAGCGAGAGAGCGAGAGAGAGAGAGCGAGAGAGAGAGAGCGAGAGAGAGAGAGAGCGAGAGAGAGAGAGAGTTTCTTGAATCTCACGGGAGCAAGATTTCACTTTCGGAATCCTCAAAACACATACACTTATTCGCTGATTTTAAATTGAAAATATCGGTAACTAAATAACATATATTCATTCATATTCAATTTTTGATCTCCCTTTCTAATTGATTTACCCAGCGAATTCGTTAGACATTGTTTGGGTTTATACTTGTGACTATAAATATGAAAAAATGCTGAATATATTCTTGAGTCTATTGTTAAAACTATTAGGGTTTATAGTTGAATCTATAGGTAAATATTAGTCGTATATACCTGATTTCTCTGGCATTAAATTCGTTGGGGGATTAATTTCCGCTTCTTTTTTTTGGGGGGTGTACTTAACCTCTCGACATGCAGGCATCGCCGACATTGATGGATGGGGTTATGTGGTTATTTCATTAAAGCAATGAGGCAAATTCGAAGAAAGGCATGTAGGCATCAATCTTCAGATATAATAACATGAAGTGTCTGTCTGTTCACTATAGACTCAGACACTAGTGGATGTTATTCAGTCATGCTATGCACATAGGCAGGGATCCTTGAAACGTCATAACCTGTGTAAAACTTAACTAGCGCATACCTGATGTTCATGAAGATCTAAATAAGATCAAAGAAGGAATTTCTCATGGAGGTTATCCATTTCATCTTACGTAAAAATATAATGTGTTAAAAAAGGTTAACTAACATTTAGATGTAAATTAATGCATAAATCATTCCTTGAGCTATTTTAAAAATATACATATCAATAAAATAATCTAGGTCTATGTGTCTTATTATACAAAATTAGAAATACTGGTGAACTTTGTTAATCTATTCATGGGTATTACGATAAACTAAATCCGACAGCAAGCCCTCCAATCGGGAGATTGAAGGTTTTCAAGAAAGGGCGAATCCTTATTAACTGATGTTGTTCCAAGGTCCACCCTGAGACGGTGTAGTAGCATCTTTTATACGTCCCAGCTATGAACAAATAGTGAGCCCCAAAACAAAAATCAACAGCTTATTTTTAAAATAAAATGAATAATAATACATTTTCATGGCAAAATTACAATAAATTGAACAAAAAATTATAAAAGTATATTTTTATAGTATAATTGCCAAAACTATATTTTATGATCTACAAACTATATATCTACAAAATATATCTTTAAATTGACAATATAAAATAATGTATAAAATATCTGTAGTGAAAGCATAAAATTGCGTTCAAAATATTTAGATTCCGACATTAAATAACCCATAGAGGTTGCTATGCCACTAATCAAAATCAACTAATCAACATTTGTTAATCAATGTATACGATGTGATCGAAAGATTTACTTTTAATATTTCGC